TAAATTCATCTATTGTGCATATTCAATTTACTTAGTATTGTTTGTTGAAAAGACTATCCCTATTGAAATTCATTGACACTTTTTTGGAAAATCAATTAGCCATAAGTGTAATCCTGAGTCTTTTTGACATTTAAATTTTTTGAGAGATTGAGAATACCTATGTATATAAACGCATAGTAAAGGGACTCAAAGCATGTTTACCAAAGTACTGACAGTGGTTACTACTTTGGAGGAGACTGGAAATACCAGAAAATGGGTATCATACATTTCCATCCTGCTAGTACATTATTTGAATCTTTTAAAATGAGATCCTGTCAAAAGAATGAGAAGGCAAGCCACAGTTTGGTAGAAAATATTTGCAAAAGACACATTTGATAAAGAATTGTTCTCCAAAATAGACAAAAACCTCTTAAAATTCGAAATAACAACACAAACAACCTAATTTAAAAACAGACAAAAGACCTGAACAGGTACTTCACCAAAGAAGATATATACAACAAGTAAGCATATGAAAAGTAAAATGTTCAACATTACATTTCATTAAGGAATTGTCAATTAAAACTACAATGAGATACCACTGCATACCTATTAGAATGGCAAAAATCCAAACCACTGACAGCACCAAATACTGGTGTTAATGGGGGAGCAAGAGGAACTCTCATTCATTGCTGGTGGGAATGTAAAATGGTACAGCCCCTTTGGAAGAAAGTTAGGCATTTTACTATAAAACTAAATGTACTTTTACCATATAATTCAGCAATTACACTCCTTGGTCTTTTCTCCAAAGAGTTCAAAACATATGTCCACACAAGAATGTGTACAGAGATGTTTATAGAAGCTTTATTCTTAATTGCCAAAACTGGGAAGCATAGATAAATTATTAGAGAGAGAGTTCACATTGTGTAATTTAGGATATCTCTCCTACCATTTTAGTGATCAAAAGTAATTTAGGAAGAGTTATTCATATGACATCCTTTACATAGATTTTGGAGATTCATAAGACCAAAATAATAATGAACAATTTTACCATAAGAATTCTTGATTTGAATACTAAATTGAGAATGACTTAGTCTAATTTTATATATCACCACTCCAAGTACTTTCAGTTTTTTCTGAAGCCTCAGTTCGTTAGGTTGTAATATTAATATGGTTAGCATTAATCTGATAAACTTATGCTTTATTAACAGATAGAAGATGTAAACAAAAAATTCAACAATCTGACCAAACTTGAGGAATCTGGATGGCAAAACAATACTATAAACAAAAAGGTCGTTCGGGTAAGTTTGGTTTTCTAATATAGACTCTTCTACTTTAATGAATTTTTATTTTTAAACTTTAAAAACATTTAGCTTCAGATTTTTCATCATCTTACAAAATAAGTTCTGTATATTACTTACAATGTCATTATTGTCTTTGAAGCATAAGGACATAATCAATACAAAATTTGAGATGGTTATTTCTGGAGAGAGAAAGGTAGAGGCTGTGATTAAATTAGGGTGCCCCAGGAGCTTCTAAGTTGCTAAATAGTGGGTATGTGCATGTTTGTTTTATTCTTTAAACCATGCTTATATATATTTTTTACTACTACTACTATAGATAATTTATATATACTTAGTAGGTACCAAATATTTTTCCAATTACCTTGCATGAATTAACTTATGTAATCTTCACAATAGTCTGACGTAGGTGCTATTATCCCCATTTCACAGCTGAGGAATCTGAGGCCCAGAAAGATTTAAGTCACTTGTTCGAGGTGGGGCTGAGTTTCAGGTCACACTCTCTCATTTCAAAATCCATGTTCTTAACCATTTGGTTATGTCGCCTCTGTTTTATATACTCTTTTGTGTGATACATTTTGAAATGAAAGAATTTCTTAAATAGTAAAGAACAGTGGCTCTATAGACCACCTGCTTTCTTCCATTTACTCTATCTTGTAAAATTTCTTATTTTCTCTGTAAAATTGGCTTTAATAACATGACAAATTCCACTCTGATCTATTCATAGCAATTTTTTTTCTAGCAATGTTTTAACTCAAAGTTTTTGGTCCAAATGAATACTTCTCTAACCACCTTGGAGCATTGCCAATTTTTCTTTTAGAAAAATGCCTTTATAAAATCAGGTTTCTGGATTGGTACTTTATTATACTATGTAATCTAAATAAAAATTCTGTTTTGAATCTGTTTAAGATGTATTGAAAGAACCTTATTGTAAAATTACTTTAGTAATGAAGTCTCATGACAGGGACCCCGAGGTTAGCAATGGAATTGATTGTATGAATTTCAAATCTACTAAACAATGAAGGATGCTTGAACATTTTCAAGCTACTATGGGTATTTTTTACTGAGTACGTAGTCCTAGAAATATTAATATCATCAGCGATGCAGATAATGGCTGAAATAGCATAGCATTATGTCAGGGCCTTGTAATTTTGTCTCTTATCACCAGGTGTCTCTCTTCCCCTGCTTTATTTTATAGGCCACTGTTAAGATTATCGAACAAATAAAACTAATCTTTCACCTGTACTTGGATACCATTCCCTCCTAACTCTTATTCATTGACCTCTCATTCCATCAGTTATCATTGTTTTCTCTTTTCCTCTTTCTCATCAGTTTTTAGGAATGTTTAAGGGTCTTTCTTTACATTAAACAAAAAACAACTAAACCTATGATGTCTACACCTCCCTCTAGTTATCTCTACTCCATTCCCATTTCTTTCCCAATCACAGGCAAGCTTCCTGAAATAGCTGCCTATACTCTGTCATTTTGAGTCTTATCTCTCTAACTCACTGTAATTCAGCTTCACCCCTCTCTGTGCCTCTAGAACAGCTATCATCAAGGTTATTAATCCACTGGTTGCTGAAGTTTTTAGACGATTATAAAATAATCCCTTTGCAGTATTAAATAGAGCCTACTTGCTCTTTCTTAAAATTATATTCTACTGATTTGCTTCCTACTTCTGTGCCCATTCTTCAGTCATGTTTGCAAATTTCTGTTTTTCCATTTATCCCTTCAATGTGTGTGATATGCAGAATTCCTACCTCAACTTTCTTCTCTCCTTCTATATTCTTCCTGTGCAGTCTTACCCACCCTGTGGTGATTCTCAAATCTGTATTTCAAACCACACTACTGTTAAATTCTTGTTCTATGTACCTTAAAATTAGTATATCCTAAACCGAAATAATCTCCACACACACCGATGTTTCTGTCTCAGAGAATGGGACACCCACTAGGTGTCCAAGGTAGACACTTGGGGATCTTTTTGGTTTGTTCCCTTCTCTATTTCACCACCTTCACCCCACATACCTTTAGTACCCCAAGTCCTCTTAATCATACCTCTTAAATATATCTTCACTTTTTTTCCATTTCTTCCTCAGTTTAACTACCTATCATTTTTTCCCATTGCAGTAGTCTCTTTCCTGTCTTGTAACCCTCCAATCTATTCTCCAGGCTGTAACCACAGTGACCTTTGTAAAGCACAAATCCAATATTGTTAATCCCCTGATTAAAAATCATCAATAATCTCTATTCCTTTGTCCTCTGTATAAACGTGGCTCCTTAAAATGGTTACATGCAAGGGGTTTTATAATCTAGCTGTTGCCTATCTCTTGCCAGCTCCTCTCTGCTTTCTTTCAATTCTGGTTTTGTAAACTCGCTATCCTCTCTACCTAGCCCTTTCCTCACCCCATCTTTTTAAGCCTGGCTAACTGTGATTCAGCTTAGTGCTACTTCCTGTAAGCCTTTCTTGATGCCTTTGAAGATTGATTTAGGGGTTATCCATATGTTTTTCTACAATTCTCTAAATTTGTCTTTAATGTGACATTTATCCTTCTTGGTGTCTTTATCTAGCTCTTATCTCCTTGATGGCAGGAACTTTTTCCTTTGCCTTTCGACCCCCAGCATTTTTAGCACATACTAGGAACTTGATAAGTGTATGACGAATGTGTGAAATATTTTTTGTATGCTTTGTTTTTCTTATAAGATAGTAATGGGTAGCTTTAATAAATGTCATCATTTCTTTTTGCAGAAAAAAGTTGTCTCGTGTATAGCAAGTAAACCAAAACAGGATGATGGTGGAAGAATTGCAGCAAGAAATCGCCTAGCTGCGATAAAAAATGCAATGAGAGAGAGAATTAAGCAGGAAGAACACGCTGAGGCAGCAGCCTCTGTAATGCCAAAGGAAGTTGATAAAATTGTGTTTGATGCTGGATTTTTCAGAGTTGAAAGTCCCGTTAAATCGTTCTCAGGTTAGTTTTTCTACTGAGGCTACTTAAGAGAACTATTTGATTGAATGGGAGGTTGTATAGGAGGTAAAAAAAATAGTTTTCACATGAATGGTTATAAGCTCTCTTATTTCTGGAAAATAGACTGATAGCTCACATACAAACACATGCAAATCACATTTCAATGGGTATGATTAGATTACTTTAGGTGCCACATATTCTGAAATTGCTTTAATATTTTCTAAGTGATTTCACATCTGTTATTACCACTTAACTTCATAATCCTGTGAGGTAGATCACAGGGTCCCAAGAGGTAAGGGATATAATGGGAGCATGAGAAGTTCGGTGATTTTCTTCATTTTCTTCAGGTTAGTTAGAAATTGGATTAGAATTTAAGATGTAAAGGAAACTTAGTCATCAAACTATCATACCTCTCTAGGTATGCTTTAAAATGAAACTCGTGGAAGATGGGTTTGGTTTTATTTTCATTTGTATTAAAACTTTTGCTCAGATCTTTTTGAAACACAATATACTAATTTCCTAATTTCAAAATAATCCGGTGAACCCAGTTTTTAATACTTCAGGAAACCATTCTTATAATTTTCTAACTCTAGTTGTATTTTTCAATAGCAATTTTTCACAGACTATCTTTATTAGAGTGAATTTATTTATCTTGACTGAATTTATTTATCTATAAACCATAGAATATGAGGCCATAGTTGAAGTAATCTGTTCTTTATATCTTAGTAGACACTACCAGTGCTCTTAAGTGCTAGATATTTATTTTCAAGGGGAAAGGGTCGAAAACCTCTTCAAGTACTAATCAGTATTATTTTACTGTGTCTACTGGGAAGTTTTCTAAAAACCTGAGCTGCTCTCTAATATTTATATTAAAATGTAAATTTATAATTTCAGGTATATTTTAACCTCCCTGTCAGATTAGGCATCACACCTGGTTCAGTTTTGCTTTGTTTCCTTTACTCGAAGCAGCTGCACTCCCTGGATACCCAGGAATTGCCTCGCCGCTAGTAACATGGCTCCTTGCTACTTCTCCAGGATTCTAGCTGTTTCCACAGCTATGAGCTCATCTTTCTGCCTATTCTTTCATGGACCCAAGTCTGCACTCGTGACTAGGGAGATTAAGGTTAATGCAAAAATTGATCTTTTTTAAACCGAGTTTTAGTTATAGAGCACATAGTTTATATGAGGCTTGTTACAAAGCAGAAGTCCCCTGCAAAAGCTCTTCTCATCCCATTTGTCACTACCTACAGGCAACTACTTTTAATTCTTTTTTTTTTTTTCAATTTTAGTTGACTTACAATATTATATTAGTTTTAGGTGTACAACATAGTGATTAGTAATTCTTAACAGTCTTGGACTCTTCAGTTGTTTACAGCCTTCTCTAAGCAAGGCATAGGGTTTTTTTCTTGAATTATTTCTTTGGTTTACTCTTCTTGGTTCTGATTTTTCTTCCAGAAACACATTTTTCTCTTGGCAAATAGACTATTTTTATTATTCTTCCTCATTCTTGTTTTCTTCTACTTTCTGGCTTGCCACAACTGCGTGTTGGCTATCACGTTTTTAATTCCCGAAAGCTCTTTCTCATCCTCCAAATATTTTATTACTGTCTGTACTTGTTTCATAACTGCACAGTCTTATCTTTCTGAGGACAGTAATGATCGTTTTTATGTTTTTTTTTCCCTCTGCATAATCACTCTTTGTTCCAAGGTAGTTTCATCTGTTTGGTTTTGGTTTCTCTCTCTCTCATTGAAGACTTTCCTTGCCTGCTCATGATTAAGAGCAGGGCTCTACATGCATCAATGGGTAGGGTCTTCACTGTGGGGTGGTTTAACTGCACCATTAGGCAGGGAACCTGCATATTACTGTTTGTCTTTTCTCATGGGCTAGATTCCCCAGAGAACATTCTTTCAATCTGTTGCCTGGAGGGTGTAATTCTGGCTGTTAGTCTTTCAGAAGCCATGTTGGGGCGAGGGGATCTGAGTGTCTCCACAGTTTATTTGCAAATACTCACTTAATCCCCTTGTTTTCCATATAGTACCCATCTCTCAATCTTACCTGGTATCACCTAAACCAGACACCCTCTGTTTCACCTTTATTGGGAAATAAGCCTCTAAGTTTTCTGATTTTGGTGGTGCAGAATGAGGAAAAAAACCTGGGTTCTAATAGTTCTTTAAAGTGACTTTGAACCAATCTTCTTATTTTTAGCTCCATTTTCATCTCCACTTCCAGAGATACTTGAGGCCGCTAATTCTTTTGAGGAGTGCTGTGGTATAAATTGGGTTGACTCTCATCTTTCCTGACTGGTTGGTTAGGATTTCTTTTCTTGAGTTTACCAAGTAAGATTCCACTCACCTATCTACATTACAGCTTCCAAAATTTTCTGGTTATTGTCTCTTTTTTAATTTCCTTTGTCTTTGTAGCATTCTGCCTTTTAAGATTATCTCTTACTGCTTATAGTGGTGGGATGTTGAGAGGTAGCAGAGTCTAACGTGTGTGTTCAATACTATCTTTAACTGAGAAGTGCTGGGTATTTGACTTTAACAAACATTATTTTGCAGTAGAAAAAGGGTGGTTGGTAGGGGAATAAGAAGAATTTGTACTGTCTTCCAAGTTACAGTGAAAAGTGAATGAAAGAACTTTTTGGGATTGAAGTGATTTCTCCATCTTCTAGGACTTTCTATCTCTTCTGAACGTCTTTCTCAAAGGCTTAGAACACCTAACTCTGTCAGCAAAGCTGTGTCTGAGAGCAGGGCTGAGGTGGGCCCTCTAAGACAAACTACATCACCAGAGACTCCTGATCCTCAGAGTACCGGAAGTGAACATGGTGATAAGACTTCACTTTCAAATATTCCTGAAAACAGGTATTTCTTTAATATGTTATCAAGAGTTTAATAGGTGACATTAAATTCTATTTAACTTCACAATGACCCTGTAACATATACGCAATACTTCTGTTTTATAAATGAAGAAACTGAGACTTAAGAGTTCAGATTGGTAATAGTCATATTTAGATAGGCATAGTTAATTCTGCAGAATTAAGAGGAAACAATATAGTGTCCTTCAGTGCTAAACAGACTGCAGCTTTGGTGTTTGACAGATCTGAGCTCAAAACCAGCTGTATGACATACTAGATATGAAATATTGGGACAAGTTAATTAAATCACTTAACCTCAGTTTCATCATCTACAAACAGCAGTGCTGATGCCTCTCTACAAGGTCATTGAGAGGCAGGCACTTTTTACCCGCCTTGATGGAGAGTACCTTGAGATTGGTGTCTCGACAGGTGGCAGAGCATAGAGAAGGGAGAGCTAATGCGTACTGAATAATTATTATGGGCTAGCCGTGGTTCTAGGTTCTTAGCACATGTCACCTCATTTAATCCTCGCAACAACCCTGGGAGGTACTATATCCCCATTCTTCAAGTGAGAAAACTGGAAAAATTACAAACTACCCAGATTCAGCTTATAATCAGTGAAACTGAATGCTGCTTAAATTCTTTCTACTACACAGTGCCACCTCTGCCAGAAATATGATAAGAAAAATATACTTTAAAATAAGTAGGAAATAAAACTGTAGTCTGGAGCCAAGAGAGGACTGTTAGATTTGTTATCATTTTGGAGATGGGACAACATTGAATGCTCAGTTATCGCAGCTAACAAGGCTGTCGAAAATATGAAGAACACCCTCTAAGTTGAAATTGGGGAAACAAATAAAAGTTATTCTTAAATACTTCATAGAACAAGAATTTTTAATTTTTGGTATAAACCAAAATATCTTTATCCTTTATAGGGACTCACAAGTTTTAAATATTCTAGAAATCTATGGATTAGAAAATACCAATTTATTGTCATTTCTTAAATGCAGGTTATTTTATTTTGTTTGCATATCCTGTAGTTTAGTATCTTGTATTTAGTATCTAAGAAGATCCATAGTTGTATTTAAGTGCTATTGCAGGTATTCTTTAAAAAATTTTTTACTTAATTCCCAAAAATAGTCCTGAAAGAGAGCATCTTACAAATAAACAATTTTGTTCAATGAAGACAGAGTGAAGCTGAAAACTAGAAAAACTGAGTGTGACATACACCATGACTTGCAAGAAGTTGAGGCAGATATTTTACATAAAATACAAATTAAGAACTTCAGGACTGGAATATGTGCTGTAACTAACAAGTAAATATAGCTAACTCTAGTATACAATAATTGAGTTGTTGCTTCAACACCCCCCAGAAGTCAGCTATCTCCTAACCTTTCTCTAGTATGTAACTCTGGATTTGGCTGAGGTTCAAAAGATTGCTGGTGAACTGACCAGCCTGGAAACAGGCTTGTGAGATTTTGGAGAAAGAATATACTTGTTGTCTATGGCCATCCTGTAGTAGCTATAGTTTTACACTAATCTATTGGATCAGGCCTGATCTTGGACCAAGCTCTGTATTTGACCCATAAAGGATAGTCTCAAAATGCAAATCAAAAGAAAGCGATATGTTTGATTTTCTGAGTACAATGCTGTTTTTTTATTTTTTCAGGAACAACTTAATAGAAGATGTTCATTGTCCTAGATTACAAGATTTAATTGAAGTAAACCATGTAAGTCCTATTCTAGCGTACTAGATAGCCTAGTATATTATCTATTTGTGTCATTATGTATAGTAACTTCATGAACAATCCTCAGAATTTCCATTGGAAATCAAAATTGGTCATATAAAATGACAGTTCTTGTTTCAAAGGCCTTTAGCTTGTTTGACACTATAGTGCCACGTTGTATTCTTCAACTCACATTAAGATTATTTTTGTAAATTGTTTTGTTATAACACAGCCACATTCTTTGTTTATGTATTATATCTGGTTGTTTTTGCAATGCAATAGAGTCGAGTAGTTGGGGCAGAGACTCTATGGCTCAAAAAGCCTAAAATATTTACTATCTGGCCCTTCAAAGAAAATGTTCGCCAATATCTGAAGTGGAGTACAGGTACAAGCTGAGAAACTTTCCTTCAATCATCCTATTGCTATCATATGATTTGAACTAATTGTTTAAGAAGCAAGATAGTAGGATTTAAAATGCTCTTTAGCCTGTGTTCAGAATGTCATTCTTTTGTATTTATTATTTTTAATAGCAACAAGACTTTTTCTATTTATTCCAATGTTTGCTAATTAAACGTAATAATCATTTTTACTTCTAGGACGTAAATGAGATAAACTTTGAAATGGATTGTTTACCCAGTGAAGGAATGAATTTGCCTCTACATCCTAGTGAAGTGGCATATAATATTAATGCTAACAAAAAAGAAGAAATTTCAGATGTTGTAGAGGGAATGGAACTAAATTCTTCAATTACAGCACAGGATGTTTTGATGAGTAGCCCTGAAAAAAGTATATCCTCACATAATAACATCTCACAGGAAGAAGAAACTAAAACTTCTCAGTCAGGTGAGATTTTTAAAATATGTTTACATAAGGCTTTGTTAAATAAATGGACTGGGACTAATGTCTAGTTTATCTTAAATAACTCGGTACCAGTTTCTAAGAATAAAGGTTGAAAAATTGGACAGTCACAGTAAATATTTCTGAGAATTAGTTTGTGTTGTAGTACCTCATTCTCCACCCCAAACCATCTGAGGTAGACCTATTAAAAATCAACAACAGATACTAATCCATGCTGGATATAAATAACATTTTACATTACAACTAACTACTTGGGATCCTGCATCATTCGTGAAAACACAGAATTAGAAAAATTTCTTGAAGTGTTTTTGGTCCTCCTCCTTTCAACACATGTCCTCAAACCTTTCTTCGAAATGCTCTATTTTTCTTCCCTAATGCTTTTTCCTACCTACTTTGTTATGATTGTTCTGCAATAGGAAATGACTGTTGCCTTTTTGTTATAATGTCTGATAGTTTCACCTATTTTCATCTGTTACTCTATGGTGCTATTCTGGCTGGGGCCTAAGGCAAAATAAATTTTACCTTAGCCAGACATTTAACGTTTTCCAGCTGTGTTCTTCATCTAGCATCCTTTGGGTACCTTTACTGTTATAAGCATGAGATTTGTTTATAGAAGACTTTTTGTACCGAAATTAAGATGAGGGTTTTATTAAGAAATTCAACCACATTTAAAAAAAATGGTATAGCATAAGAGGACCTACATTTTGTCTTTAAAAAGTTAAAAATAATTCTTTTTTGTTTTTCAGTATTATTTGATAATAAAAGTCTCACTACTGAATGCCATCTTCTCGATTCAGTAAGTTATCCAAGTTAATTTGAAAAGTTTCTTTAGTCTAGGTTTGTTTTATAAAATGAATATTACTTTTTAATTTGTGTGCAAAGTTTAAAATTTGTCATTATTTTGTTTACTCCGAAATCCATTATTTTTATTAAATTGGAACAAAATTTCATATATATGTATATACTCTAAAATATAGTGTGTTTTAGTAGTAAACTCTGAAGATTTATTTCCCTCTATTATTTATTTATCAAATTTGTTATGACAAATTGAATACTTGAATATCTAATATGTGGTTTGGATTATGCTAGGTATTTCTAAGTGATATAAGAAAAATATAATGCAGAGCTTCTGCCCATCTAAAGCATACAGTTGGAGAGATAATGTCTGTCCTACCCATCACTGGTTATTTTTGTTCTATTCCTTTTAGATTACTTATTTGGAAGCTCCCAAGCCTTTATTTTCAGTGACCTCTTTCTTCTAAGTCTACTTCAGATATTAGCCTTTCTGTGAAACCGTCCTGTAAAAGCTCTCATCTCTTGCATGTTGCTTTATATATAGACACAGGCGCCCATAGGCATACAATGCATACAATGCACATATTCAATATCTTATTAAGAGAATAATATGAATATATTCCTAAAACATAATTTCAGGAATCTATTTCCTTTATTAACTGTACATTTTTCTGTAGGCCGAGCTGTCTGATTCATACTCATGAATGCAGGCACTGTAGCATGAATGAAAATATGCTCTCCTGCCTACCAAGTGTTTATAGCATTGGTTTTAGCCCTACCTCCAGATTTTTTTGTTGTTGTTTTAATGATCTGGAGCAGGACCTTCATCAGGTGATTTTAATTTTAGCCAGGGTTAACAACTGTGCTATAAAGCCTTGCCTTGAGATTTTCCAGGGCCCACTGCCAAAATGAGTCAGGGAACTCAATGAAATGGAGCTAAGCAACCTACCAGATAAAGTGTTGAAAGTAATCATCATAAAGATGCTCACCGAACTTGGGAGAAGAATCGATGAATTCAGTGAGAACTTCAACAGGGAGGTAGAAAATATAAAAAAATGCCAAACAGAAGTTATAACTGAAATTAAAAATATACTAGAGCGATTCAACATCAGACTGGATAAAGGTGAAGCACAAATCAGTGAGCTGAAAGGCAAAGCAATGGAACACACACAGCAGAGCAGCAAAATGAAAAAATAATTTTAAAAAGTGAGGATACCTTAAGGGACCTCTGGGACAACATCAAGTAGAATGCATTCACATTGTAGGAGTCCCAAAAAGAGAAGAAAAAGGACCAGAAAAAATATTTGAAGAATTAATGGCTGACAGTGTCCCTAATCTGGGAAGAAAGGAAACAGACATTTAGATCCAGGAAGCCCAGAGAGTAAGACAAATAAATAAGATGAATGCAAAGAGAACCACACCAAGACACATTATAATTAAAATGACAAAAGTTAAAGAGAGAATCTTAAAAGCAGCAAGAGAAAAACAATTTATTACACACAAGGGAAACCCATAAAGCAGAAACGTTATAAGCCAGAAGGGTATAGCATGATATATTCAAAATATTGAAAGGAAAAAAATTTCCAACTAATAATTCTCTACTCAGCAGGGTTGTCATTCAGAATTGAAGAAGAGATTAAGAGTTTTCCAGCTAAAAAAACCCTGCAAAAAATGTTAAAGGGATTTCTCTAAGCTGAAAAGAAAAGGCACTAATTAATAAAATAAAAACATGAAAGTAAAAATCTCACTGGAAAATGTAAATGTATAGGAAAGGTAGTGGATCAACCATTTAAAAACCAAGTGTGAAGGTTTAAAGACGAAACTACTAAAATTAACTAAAATTATTATATTTAGTTAAGGGAAGCATAAAATAAAAAGTCGAATGTGTTATCAAAAACATAAAACCTGTGAGAGGATCAAAAATGCAAAGCTTTGGAATGTGTTCAAATTTAAGTTGCTATCCACTTAAAAGAGACATATATATATAGGATGTTATATGTGAACCTGTTGGTAATCACAAAGAAAAAACTTAGAGTCAGCACACACACACACAAAACGAGAAAGAAATCTAAACATAACACTAAAGAATGCCATTAAACCACAAGGGAAGAGAGGAACAGAGAGGATCTATAAAAACAGCCAGAAAACAATTAACAAAATGGCAATAAGTACATACTTATTAACAATTACTTTAAATGTAAATGGACTAAATTCACCAATCAAAAGATACAGAGGGGCTGAGTGGATAAAAAGACAAGGCTCATCTATATGCTGCCTCCAAGTGACTTCAGAAATAAGGACACACAAAGACAATGTGAAGGGATGGAAAAAGATATTCCTTGCAGATGGAAACAGAAAGAAAGCTGGTGTAGCTATACTCCTATCAAAAACAACAAAAATAGACATTGAAACAAAGATTGTAATAAAAGACAAAGAAGGGTACTATGCAATGATAAAGGGGTCAATCTAGCAAGAAGCTATAACATTTATAAATATATATGAACGTAGCACAGGAGCACCAAAATGTATAAAGCTAATATTAACAGACTTAAAAGGTGAAAATGAAAGCAATACAATAACAGATGGGAGATTTATAGCAATGAATAGATCATCCAGACAGAAAAATCAGTAAGAAAATATCAGACTTAAATGATGTATTAGACCAGGTGAACTTAATAGATATCTCAAGTTTGCATGGACCATTCTCCAGGTTAGACCATATGTTCCCAAATCTCAATAAATTCAAGATTGAAATCATATCAAGCATCTTTTCTAACCACAGTGACATGAAAATAAAAATCACAAGAATAAAATGAGAAAAACCACAAGAAAACATGAAGATTAAACAACATGTTACTAACCAAACTCGATCATCGCAGAAATCAAAATAGAATTGAAAAAATACCTAGAGATAAATGAAAACAAATATGACATACCAAAGTCTGTGGGATGCAGCAAAAGTGGTTCTAAGAGGGACATTAACAACACAGGCCTAACTCAAGATAAGAAAAATCTCAAAATTGGTCAGGGAATGGCCTTGCTTTTGCTAATCTTTGATCTCAGAATATAAAAAATTTATTAAGGCAAATGTAGGATCAAACAACTGTTAACCTCATGAAGACTGGCAAATGCCTTGGCTTCCTTATGCCACTAATTCCTTCAGGACCTCTGTATGTTTTGGCTTCCGTTACCTTTCAGAGACGGTTTCTTTGCATTCAGGCTTCTGGGCTGCTCTTTGTCTCCAGAGAAGAATGAAGTGGGTTATTGTGACCCACACTCTGTTCTTTCTTGATCTTAGCCTTCTTTAATCGTAGACTAAGACCTGGACAGCCAGGGACTTTAGCATAAGACCAATTTATATACACCCAATTTAATCCTGTTCTCAGATCTAAACTCTGAATGAATGGTTCTGATAATATAGGCTATTTATAACTAAATTTGGAAATTAATGAATCATAATATTGTTTTTCATATATTAGTAATATGATTGTTTCACAATTATACAGTATCTTGCTGATAAACCTTTGTATCTTATAATTTAGTCTCTTTATGAACTTTTACTTCCAGAATTTATATATATATGTATTTTTGAATAGGTTCACCTATTTTAGACCAAAATATTACTTATGCTGGCATCATTTGAACCTGAAGTAGGGTTTGAAGGAGAACAATAAAAAGGATCCCAGCAAGATCACATTTTAGTAAAAGGCCTATTAAGTGCTGTTAGATGATGAGGATTAGGCTGGGTTTGTGAAATCTGCATATGTGGCCTCGATTTTATTCATCCTGCATATGCTGCTGAAGTCCATACGTAGTACTAATCATTTTTAGGCTCGTAGTCCTAATATACATTTTCAATTTAAAAATACTATATATTTGAAATTAGATCTGCTGGAAAGTAGCACAATCATTATGTTATTAATTTGTCGTTATGTAGAAAAATGTTATCTTATTAATTTACTATTAATTTACAATGTTGAAGACTTAATTGGTAAAACTCTTGATGGCTCCTTAAGTGACTTTTCTGAATTGACTCTCTAGCCAGGCCTAACCTGCAGTAATCCATTTACTCACGTGGAGAGGAGACTCGGAGAACATGCCAGACACATTTCCTTTGGTGGTAACCTGATTACCTTTTCACCTTTAAGGCCCCTCAGTGGAGAACAACCTGAAGAATTTTGAATTTAAAAATAATTCCAAACATTTTCATACAAATTATCAATGCCGTGGTATATTCTCAGATTTTCAGAAAGTTGAAGACTATGTATTTTTATTTTTGTTCACTTCTGTTCAATTCATTTATATAGTGCCATGTAATGTTTTAATGTTCAGTATTCCTTGAAATGTGTTTTAGATATAATACTATTTCTCAAGGGAAGTGGGAATATTTTGTACATTAACCATGCAGAATAAAAAATGTACTATGCCTTGCCTCTCTTATTTAAAATGTTATAAGCTTAAAGCTAAGAATATGTATTCAGAGCTAATGAACACTTCAGCTTAATCGAAATATAACACTAAATTTTGATAGAATTATTTGTATCCCTTTACATTTTAAGTTTGAACTTTTAAATTTGTTGAACAGCTTTGCATATTGCATTTTCCAAAATATACTGAGTTTCTTTAGTTGAGCTTTCTGGCTCCTGATGTCAATTTGCATACTATAGTTTCAAATGGTCAAATTATTGTAAGTGCCCATTAAATTCTTGACTTTTTCATTTTCCCCTTGACATGACTGACAGCCTCTGAAGGAAATGCCTTCTTCCTCTGAAGAAAATTCTATCAATCATTTAATATGTTTAAAATACTTTCTTTTATGAAACTCTTACCTATAGAGCTTTTAGAAGACAGGGCCATCAGAATAACAGAGCACCAAGAAGTCTCAGAGTAGCTAAAGCTTTTAACCAGACCCAGGTACAGTTATTTCTACAAATGAGTTGACCAAGAAGCAGGACCTTTATGGATAACTCCCCTAAGTTTAGGCTGTTATGTAATTGTAAAATGAACTCAAACTGGCTTAGCAGTAAGAATTTTTCACAAGCCATCAAAGTGATTCCAGGTACTTTACAATCAACAGTTCAATGATGGCATCAAGGTCCAACATTCTGTCATAGTCTATTCCTGTCATCCTTGATGTTGGAACTCCTCTAAGACTAGGTCCTTTTGGGGTCATTTTATGGCTGCTGGTGGTAATCAGAGCTATGTCCTTCTCTGTGGTCTGGTTAGGCCAACTAATGCCACATCTCCATCTGCAGATCAATAACAGCAGGGAGTTGGCTTAAACTAATGATTCCCTACTGAATCTGGGATCACACCCGAATAAAACCACAATTATGACACACGGAATGGATTGTGGGTAGGCAGCCATCAATGTCCCCTACAATTAGATAGTGTGTTCTTGGACTATTAGACTACAGAATTATGAGGAATTAGGAAAATCTTTAAAGATGAAGAAAAGCTGCTTGGGTAGAACAAGAGGCTTTCCAAAATTGAAAGGGAATTTCCATTTATTGAGGACCTACATATGATAGCCCCTTTGCAAACAAAGTTTCAATGATCACAGTAACCCTACAAAAAATTATCATACCCCACCCATTTTATAGACAAAGAAACCGAGGCTCAGAGAGTTTAAGTAATTTTATATAAACCAAGTTCTCTCTTTTTTCCAAAGCTTATGTTCTTTCATTCAATCATAGGTGTAGAATTTACAGTTTTAGAAATACGCTGTGATGTGTTGCTCAAATCCCTCTAGAGGAATGAAGGATGTACTCCATCAGTTGCTGGAAGCGCAGGTAGCCCTCAGCTCACCCTATATGAGAACACCCTTGGGTGAAGAGAGCCACTTCACCCATATTCATGCCCTGTCTCCCAGGTGGTCTCTATTCACTGACTGAAGCACAGATATAAGGAATCTATCCCTCTCTTGCTACTCTCAAGGATCATCCCAGCTTTAGAACCCGTGTATCATGGGCTGAGCCATCAATGCTGAACTCCCTCCTCCCAGTCATGTTCCTTGTTCCTACAGCTGTTGATTGCAAGAGTATTCCCTCGACTTCTTGTATTCTAATTTCTTTGCTTCCTGAGGAACCCAACTTCTGACAATTACAGTATTTGAGAAGACCGTATTATAGAAACTATTTTGGTCTTCTCTAGAATGAAGTTGTATAACTACATCCTGGTTTTGAGATTTTATCCTTTGGTTTTGCTGATGATGGGAAGGGCAGAAAGGCATGGTGAAGGATGTTGACGATGGGAGCTTTAAATTTTTGAAGCTGATTATATATCTAATACACGACTTTTTCCCTCTACAAATCGAGGTTTCATAAAAACCAAGAAAACCTATGGGGAAGTGGTCCCATATTGGTATCCAAAACCAATTTGAAAGCAGAGAAGTATAGTTTAGAGAAAATAGGATTTAAAAGGAGTTGAAAGAAATATACCAGAATGCTAACAGCAATTGCCTATCAGTCATAGTTCATTTATGTGTAAATGCTTTCCGCTTTTCTCATGTCCTTAAGAAAACAGGAGAATGATTTCTTTGTAGCATCTCCTGATTTATATGAAGCTCAGGAAGAGAGAAGTTAATTTGGTGGTAGTATTTACTCCTATTTTCTATCTTAAAAAATAATTTAGGAAGCATAGACAATTTTGGGAGACTAATCCAGTATTAATATTGCTACATATTTCTTTTTCCATTGAGTTCATTGTTCATTATCAAGAATAAACTGCCCCAATTAAATTACATGTAAACTGGTAACTCTTAGAATATTTATTATATGGATGGTTTACAAGAAGGATATTGATGAATAAAGGTAAAATTTTTCACTCATAGTGAACATGAAATTGAAAAGTATAAGGTTTATGTTCAATTTCATTTTTTTTTTAAAATATTTGCCCCTTTGAGATTATATCATGGCATGCGAAGCACTGATGAGAGTGACGTCACCAGTGATTCCTACTGCGCTGATTTCCTTGAGATTTTTCATCCGATGATTGTACTGCAACAAGTGAGCATCATTGACTGCAACTTTGAAGTGGTTGTCTTCAACCAGTACTTGTATCTGAAATGGCACATATACAAAACTGTTAGGAATGCCCATTAATTTCAAAACCAGTTTGATGTCCAATATTTCATCTTTATGATCATTTGTGGAACTGATTAAAGCCCAGAAAAAGCGACTTTACAGCAAAAGTAAACTCCAGATTATTCAAAGATTTAAACAAAGACAAAATGATAAAATTGTTAAAAGGATATGTAGTTGAAGCCATGAAGGAAAAGATTAATAATGTGTCTACATAAAAACTTAAAGTTTTCATATGGCCTAAAGCACCTAAAAGCAAAAATAAAAATAAACACTGAAGTAGGAATCCCTTAATAAAGTGGCAAGTATTACAAAGATGTGTAATAATCAGTTGTGGCAAAAGCAGGGGAAATGTACTCTTCCAATAGTTAGTGAATGTGTTGATCCTACATTCTTTTGGAAGCAGCACTTTGGCAATGTCTAAATTTTAAATATGCATATTCTTTAAAATTCTAGGAAGCAAAGATTTAAAAGGATAGTTATTATAGTATTTTAGATGATAAACCTTTCTAGATTTCATTTGTTTGAAATTTTTCAGTACTCAAAATTTTCATCCATAGGGTACCAGTTGAATTATCACATACCTGAACAATGAAATAACATTAGGTAACATTGTTCTGACTCTGAAAGATGTGCACCACATGTAGAATATGGTCCCTGTTAGTCTCTGCCCTTGAGTAGCTGAGAGTCTAGCTGGGTTTTTTGCCCACTCTATAGTCAATTCTAACCCAGCACCAAACCTAATATTTGTTGAAGCTGTGCTTAAAAGAAAAAAAGTGTATTTATGTCATAGAAAATACTGGAAAGGTATTCACCAAGTTGCAGTCTTTGTGAAGATAGGGAAGGGGTAAAGGATAGAGGACTTTTTAGTTAATTTAAAAATCTACGCATTTTTTTCATAAAACAAGCACGTATTAATTAATTTTAGAATAAAAAGGTTTAGTTTCGATTGCCATACCAATTATGTTGTTTTAAGGAACTAAGTCTCAGTCCAACTGTACCATAAAGTTAAAAAGTAGCTTTTTTTTTTCTTTTTTTATAAAAGATGCTGTTTTCCTCATGTCTAGAAAAGCTTAAACTCAGAAGGGTGATAACAGTGACGATGGTGAGGGGCCTGAGTGGAGTTGGGGAGTGTGCCACTCTTGGCCGTGTACCAGTCTGCTGAGCCTGGTCCCCTTGGATGGGGAGATGTACTGGCTAGGTGTCCCAGGGCAGCCGATAAAAATTCATTTCAAGTGCATCATGGTTTTAGAGTGATTCCCCATGAGCAATATGCATTATGAATACATATTAAGAGCAATAACTTACTTTGAATGGTTTGCCACTTTCAAATGGGAAAACCATCTGTCTTTCTTCTGGTCCCCAGGCATTATTCATCTTTGAATTGCAAACAATGACTCTCCTGTTGTTCTCATTGAAGCGTGGGTTAAAGTGGAAGGCGATATCATTCCCTCTCTTGAAATCTAAAGTGATTCTGTTTAAACCGAAGACCAGAGTTAGAAAAATGATTCAAATTGTGTATTTGTAGCAAGTGAAGAACATGTAATTTTCTAAAGAGCATATCATTTTATAAAATGCAGGAAAACTTTCTAAACAGAAAACAAACCAGAGAATGGGTTCAAACTGGAAAGTATACTAGGCCAAGTATTCGATGTACTACCGTACTATCTAAAAGTAAGCAAGACAATCTGTTAAACTTTTTGGCCTCGTTGTCTTTGGTTACATCATTTTATTCAGCTATCATTCCCTCTTTACCCCCTCTACTCACAAAAACCCTTCGAGGATACCTTATAGAGGTTTAAGGCCACTTTGAGGGCACTTTATGCATTACATTGCAGATAATAATGGTTATCTCCTTCCTACCCTGCCAGGTTGCTTTTAATACCTATTGAAGGCAAGCCAGTCATGTAAATAAGAGGTATCAAATTCCTGGCTTCCTCCTAGTTAACCAAAACCTAGTCCTAAAACTGAAAGAATGAAATTACAGTTAATGATCAGTATCCTGTTGCTAAATTGTAAAGTCAAGACAATAAATGTGTTCAACTTTCTATGATGTGAAGTAGAATTAATGAAAGTACTGGCTTAATTTTCTAACCCTGTTCCATCTCCTTGGATGTTAATGCACCCTGAGTGTCAAAGTACTAAACCCCTACCTCAGTTCTCAATGTGTGCTCTATAGAGCACTAACATCAGAATCAGCTGGTGCTCTTGTTTTAAAGCAAGATCTGCACTCTAGACTCACAATAATTCCCTGGGTATTAAGAGTCACCCAGTAACAGGTACTACCACAAATGCATCTTCCAGTGATTAAATTCACAGGGAAAGGACCGACATAGTCAGTGGCAATAGAAATTGTATTTGCCTAAATAGCCATTGGCTGTATTTCCTCTGCAGTAAAAAGGAAGAAAAATAATGTGATGTCTACCACCTTACACACTTTTTTCTTGTAATTCCTCACAAAATTTGCAGGACCAAGCAACAAATATTTTAGCTTACTACTACTTTAACCATTTCAGCCAAAATTAGTTTTGATCTGCCATCGTCTTGATCTACATCTCTAATGTAATTGGAGCTAAAGTTTCTAGTACAATAACCCTAAATAAGGCAAAGATACCAGCATGGTTCTGTGTGATAGGACTTGTGGAGAAGGAGAACAGATATTAACAAATTGCAAGTGCTATATGCACAGGATAAGGTGTGCTGGGTTCTATGGTAGATTGGGAGGAAAGATGGATTACAACATAGGCAGAGGATATATATATATATTTTGTTAGAGAAGCTATAGAGGCTGTATGGAAAGAAGAGCTGGCTTAGGGTAGTGACTACTGAGTAGAACCAGAGGAGGATGTCTGGAGGTTGGAGTGAATGGGCTATCTGAATGCAAAATGATCAGATTAGAAGCTGAGTCCATCTCTTGGTAATAGAGGAGGTGGCTCCCATTGACTCACTAGGAGCAAGGTGACATACACTCAACAGAGGCTGTTTATGGATCCTCAAATAAACCTGTGTACATAGCTTGAATTTGTATCTTTTGTATACTGTCTGTAAGACCCAGAGACAGATTAATTAATGGCTGCAGGAACGTTAGTGGTACCACTCACCTCAGGGACAGGCATACTAGATGGCTTCAGGATATCCTCAGCCTACTTATATTATATGTAAGTATAACCAGAGCCAGGCATCCCAGGGAAACCATAAATCAGCATGGATTTTCCTGAACTAGCTCAAAGTCTTACCCCATCCTAGCTCACCTTAATCAAACCAGTTCAAACGGCAAAGGCTGACTTATTTTGATGAAGTCTTTAATTTGTAGAATGTTTTCAAATCTTTTGAGTAAATAGTGTCTACTGAGAACACAGGGGTGCTCTCCATCCTGCCACTTATCATCTGTAGACCATGGGAACCTGTGACTGTAGTTTCACACAGTGGACACAATAGCCAAGCTTGAGAAAGCTGAGGCTACACCGTAACCTGCACTACTGCAGGGAGATTTGTACAAATCTGAGGACACGATGGTATAATATTCTCTCAGATCAACTCAGAACTATGTCCAGTGGCATCTTTTTGCTTTTGACCCTAATTTTTGATGGTCACCTAGACATAAAGTGCATGCTTGTGTTTTTTTGTTTTTTGTTTTGTTTTTTTTTTTAGATGGTATGTGGCTCAGATGTAGAGAGATGGCCAAACATTACATTATAAAGACTCTACTCGCCTTTAATTCTAAGGCTTTTTTCACTGCCAGGAAGAACCAACAGCATGGGTTTTGCTGCTCTTCCTCTTTGTCCTCACAAAGTAGAACTCTGTTTTATTCATGTTCTGGGAGAACAACAAGATTTGGCGAGGGAAACCTTGTCCTCTTGGTGGGAACATATTGATTTCTGGGCTATCCCATCCCATACTATGGTATAGCTAAGATTCTAAATGTGTAGTTTTTAAAATCCTATTAGGTTTCAAAATAGATCAGCATTTATTCAAAAACCAATTAACAAATATATTAGACTTTAAAATTTTGTTCTTTACTTGTTTGCATTGGGCTTTACTGTGCCAAGAATTGTTATCAGCATGCGAGGCATCACTCCTCCAGGGAAAGCCAGGTCATAAGGCACAGTCTGGGGATGAGAAAATATATGTGTATCAATAAAGATCTTGGGAAAAAAAAGAAAAAGACATTGCTAAAGTTCAATCACTATTAATATGTGTGAAAAACACATAACTAATTTACGCCATCTGTGCAGACTCTTGGGCCACCTTGCCCAGGGTCTGAAGAAATAAAGCTCCCTACATGCATAATTAATAATCTAGAATAAAGTCATCAGTTAATAGGTGCCAAAGGAAGAAGACAGTCCTTTTTGGAGCATGGTAGCTCATATTATTAGGGTCATCTCAGTCTATAGCTCATTCACTTAGACTGTATTTTGAAAGGGCTTAAACTAGACCTGGCAATCAACATTAACATTGTGCCACTCTTAAGACCCTTGTCACATAATATACTTCATCATATCACATTCTGGAACTTCTGGGTTCTCCCATACTTTCTACTCACAGCACCAGCAGAGTACTTTATAAATGGCAGATACTCAATATTTGTGGAATGAACATCTTCCAGTTAATTCATTACCTGATTCATTCCACAAATATTTATTGACCATCTAATGTTCAAGGTGCTGTAAGTATTCCCAAAGCTCTATCTCTGGCCTCTTCTCTTTTTCCTTCACAATTTTCCCCCTTAGTTTAACTATCATCTATCATCCAAGTCTTTTATCTCTAGCCCTAATATGTACTAGTTCCATACTTCCTTCTTCTGAATTTGCTACTGGTAGTGCAAACCCAACAGGCATTAACTGGAATTGTCTCTCCTGTCCGCTCCCCCATCACTCTCCTTCCAGAGTTCCCGGTTAGGGCTGACTCTTGGCTGGTGCTCTAGTTGTCTTGGAAAGTCAGAGTCATCTCTGACTCCTAAGACCTAACCAGTAGATCCTGAGGTTCTTCTTCTGTAATCTCTCTCCCATCTGCCTCTTCCTTTCCACAGCCTCCATAGCCCCCTCTGTCTGCAGTGGACTAACTTTCTGTGGTATAAGCTCTGCCCAATGCCATGCCCACCTCAAAGGTTTTCTCTGCACTTTAAGCTGACCTAAAAGCAGGTCAGATGCTACCTGTGCCATCTTCTACATAGTCCTGAAAGGGTCTGACCCCAGGCTGTTACTGAACTTTTTCCTCATCTCTGTTCATTTATCAGCTCGACTAAAGTCTAGAAGGGAAGGACCTGTGTCTAAGGTTTTACACTTAGAATTTATTTACTAAAATGTGTTTTAATATAAATGAAAATACAACACTTAGATCACAAAACTATTTTTAGAAGCGTTTTCAAAACTACTTTACTTTTGTTCCCCCACATCTTCTATGATCTTGGGCAAGTTATATAATTCTATTGCCCCATTTCCTCATATGTAAAATGGGGATAATAACAGTATCTTTTGGGGTGGTTATGGGGTTAAATGAGATCATCCATTTAGAAGCACACTGCTGGCACGTGTTACTTACTCAGTGTTTATTAATAATAATAACCAAACTTTTCCCCATTACTATGATCTTAACTTGATATATATTAAAGCTGCTTTACCTTCAAAAGACGCATTAGCTTCTCAACAGTACACATACTAAATTCAATATAACTATTTTTTTTGTTGCACCAACATACACCATGGCTGGTCCTTGAAAAGTGGCTCTAAGCAGTGAGTTTAAAGCTTCAGATCTCCCTGAGGCCCTCTGCAGGGCAGTACCCAGAACTAGCTCTTAACCAGAGCACTGCAAAATGATGGCATAAATGCTCTAGATGACTGCCATGTTCTTCATTAGCTTTGTCTTGGTCACAATCAAGTACATGAAATGACTGACTCCATCTTACCAGTGGTCCAGCAGGGGCGCCAGTGGGGCCGGCACCAGGGTAGGCCCCAGGCCCACCTGGTTGCCCGGGGTAGGCTCCTGGTGCAGTTGGGCCAGGATAAGCAGGTGCCGTGGGGCCAGGATAAGCAGGGTAGGTGCCAGGAGGAGCCTGTCCAGGGTACGCGCCAGGAGGGGCCTGTCCAGGGTAGGCTCCAGGAGGGGCCTGTCCGGGGTACGCGCCAGGAGGGGCCTGTCCGGGGTACGCGCCAGGAGGGCCCTGTCCAGGGTAGGTGGCCCCTGGGTAGCCCCCTGCCCCAGCGGGCTGGTTTCCCCATGGATCAGGCCACCCTTGAGGGTTCGGTTTCCCAGACCCAGATAAGGCATCGTTAAGCTGGAAAGAAAGATATAAACAATGCTTGGATGAAAACATTCACAAAAACAGATTTTTCAAGAAAACAGGAATATGTGATCTAAGAAGTGGGAGGGATATGGTGAAGGTATGAAATTCATATCAACAAAAAATTTCCCACCCATTAAATAGTTGTGAGTTCCAAAGACTTAAATTAGGCTTTGGGATTATATATGCTTTATCGGTACATCTCTCCCATCATCTCAGGTTGTGGAGGATTGCATTTTTGTAATTTGCTAAAGTCAGAAGCTATCCATCCTCTGTATAAAAGTGCATAATTTTCTAATGGACATAAGAAAAACAATCACAAAAGTCAGAATGCTCAAACTGCACCACACTTCCCATTCATTGCTCAGCTTATTTCTCAGCTCCCGGCCCATGGAATCCACCACTTCTGTCCCAGGCCTTTCGGTAAATGGGCATGTCCCAGGCCTCGCTCTGCCTGGCTTTCTTTCCAAATCTGTTGCTGGAAAACAAGGCTCCAGATAACAAGCCTTCACTGGACAGGTGAGGCCACAGGAAGCCATGTGGTGGGAGCGTTAGAGGAGAAAGTCTGATAATAAAAACTAAACTCTCAACCTATGTGGAATTAGAAGGTAAGAAAACATAAAACACTTACCGAAAAACTGTCTGCCATTTTCCTGAGAGGAGAAAAAAAAAGAAGAGAGGTTATCATTTGATCCAAAAGGATTTCATAGGTTTCCATTTAAATTTCACATCACAAATAGTTCACTGTGTAATTCTAGTCAATTTACAGATGTTCTAGCACAAGCCAGTCTATTTCCAAAATACACTTAATCAACAGTGTGGAACCACAGAAATGTCTCATCCAAGGGCGGCCATGCACTCCAGCCAGATTACCAAACTCTATGTAACTCATAACTTTAAACTCTAATCACACTAGCACAAGTTCTGTATCCAGGAACTAACAGGCTATACAATGTGAAATAGAGAAGAATGAGGAAGAAAATGTTCTGCCCCTTTATTAGGTAACAAATGTAAATAGTCCTGGTTACCTTTGGTTCTTCATTTTCCTTCCTGTACTCTTTTTTCACCACCTCTTAGAAAAGGTTCTGCCTGTTAATATCCCTCACGTCCCCCTCCATTCACACTAACAGCCCATGCCTTCTTCTCACATTTAGGAGAAAAACAGAATTGGTTGATTCTTACTGAGATCTGAAAGGCAATGCCCTCCAAATATAGTTGCTGCCAGTCGATTATTCCTTCATTTGCACACATTTATGCCTGCTCTGCACAGGTACCATGCAGGTTCCTGTCTGGGTAAGAAGGTGGATAGGCAAAGATCTGTATGGTCAAAGGGTCCACAGGGACCCCAACTGATGGACACTGTTGAGCCAGACGTGTGTAGTGGGAAGTCACAACCAGAACAATTACTTCTAAGAGGGGAGATGATGTTTGAGCTAAGTCTTGAAGGAGAGTGAAATTGGAATGTGAAGCAAAGAAGAAGGAAGAAAGGCACAAAAGTGCCTTTTTTTTTT